ACATCAGTAGTTTCGAAGTTTCATTAGTGCGCAAAAATTAAAAACAGAACCATATTTTATATTATTCAAAATTACAATTATTTTTATAATGCCTAAATGTGGTGTTTCCAATACAATCATTTCAGCTTAATGCTTAGGCTTAAAGCTAACGTACGAAATGAATATGAATATAATTTCTACAAAAATAATATGTTAATACATACTATTGTTCTTTTTGTTTATCATTGGGTTGGTCAATTACCGATAGGTAATATTATAATTATAAAAAGTAAAATATATAAAGTGTGGTCAAAACTATTGTAATTAGAGTTAAAAACAATAGTTATAATTACTGGTACATGTTAAACATTGAACGATGTAGCGAATTATTCAATAACCATGCAAGCTTAAAGTACATATAGAATTAATGATAATATTTCCTGAGTTTACGTATATTTTTTTACGAGACAAGTTATCAATATTATATAAAAAATTTATCATGTTGAAAATGAAAAAAAATAACTATAATTTTAGTGGGGCAAATTTTTATTTTACTTCAGTGTATACTATTTCTTAAAACACGATTAAACATTTTTTTAGTTGATTATTCAATTGAAATTTAGCATCAAAACCAAAAGTCTAATTGTGATTGTAACAGTATGTATCAAAAGGTTCTCTCATAATCAAATATTTTGTAGTATTCTCTGACCAAAGTCATAAAATGTGATTGACATTTGTTTTATAAGAAAATATTTAACTAAATGTTAAGGAATGTATAGTTTATTTACATCTTAAACACTACTGAAAAATAATTGATAATTTATTTAGCATATTACAATATTTAAATTAAATGTCACGAATTTTTGTTAAAAGTATATTTATTTATAAGTTGAAAATTATTGTAGTCAAAAGCTAATTAATTATGAAATCATCATACTTAAAATTTTATTATTATCTTTTTTTTATTATCTATTCAATTATCGTCCATTGAATTGTAGAGTGTTAACTTGTCTTATTGAGCATTACAATTTTTGTGTAATATTATTCTTAATTGGAAAAGTATCTTAGTTTTCCTGCAATCATTTTACAAAAATTGACATAGGCGAAAATTAAATAAAAATGTGTATGTAGTTTGTTTATTTTAATATAGTTTTTCTCATATTTTATATGATAATAAATACAATTTTCTTATAATTCTATAATTACAATTTTTTGGGAGTGTAAGTCCTTTAGTCCATCCCCTTGTTGCAATAATTAATATGTATTTTTTTTTCATAATTACGTTTACATAATTATAATGTCTATTCGAACACACAAATATAATGTCCATTTGATATTAAATAATTGCTATCGCAGAGAAGTTAATTTGAGAATAATCTTTTAACAAATATTTGTATGCTCATGTATAACAGGGCCGTTGTATTGTATTCTATGTGGAGCAATCGAAGCGTTTGAGTGAAAAGAAACTGATGTTCATGAGATCTATGGAAATAACACGGCTGGTGTACTTGTCGAATTATCCAACTGTTAACAAATAAAGCGTTCCTATGACTGGCATACTTGACGAGTGCTGTATCTTATAGTATTGGTACTTAATTCCATACACAAATTTGTCGACCCATTTGTTCCTTTGACTTGTGTCGCTTTTACCGACAATCTGCGAGAAACGGACATGTGACCAATAATTGATCAAGTACACCAACCGTAGTATTTCGGCTTTAGTGGTATTTCAGTTAATTCTCAAATCAAATATTAAACGATCGTCGTCTGTGAATGGAAAGGTTCTAACGCAAAATTGATGATTTTCCAGTAGACTTATTAGAAATAAAATTATCATGCAGTTAAATGGAATTAAAATTTTTTTATTTAAACTATCTCACTATATAATAAGTGCATCTACTTCATTTAAGAATTAAAACAAGTGTAGTTATTTTTTCAACGTATTTATTGAAAAAAAATATATGTTACAACATTTTTATTGGGAGGCGAATTTATGAAGGAAATCAACCAAGGAAACACCGTGTTTAACTTGGGTTCATGATTTTAAAAGAATAAACTAATTTGATGAGAAGTTCACATTTTCAACCTGGTGTTTGGTTACTAGAAAAATTACGGAGTAGTTAACAGGAATTATTTTGTAACCTCATTAGAATAAAAATGATATCTATGTATTGCTATTGAATAATGCACATGTATTATTATTGTATTGCGCTTATTCAGTATTTCTATACCAACACTGAATTTTTGGTACATACATATGTACTAAAAATAAATAATTATTACCTTAGAGTTATGTATAAAAGTAAACAATTTACTAAAGTGGTAAAAATAATCGCTATTCTTCTATTTATTAATAGTATTTTTTCTATTATAAACGCGTTGAGGATTGTACCTCTGTAAAAATCATTGAGACGCGTTCTATTAAATACACGAAATAGCACAAGCTTAAACTATGATAACGACTCTAGTGTGTGTATATATATATTTATGACATACTTAATTCATTTCATTTCTATTTATGATGAACGGTCATATGCGAGTGTGCTATTAGACGTATAAATTTGTACACGCAGAAACGCGCCAAAACGCTTATGTTAAATTTTGTTAAGTAATAATGCCGTTTCCACTAGCTATTTTTAATAAAAAATTATTAGTCTTCTAATCATACACGCCGTCTAGAAATAATGTATAAAATTATCACCGTAGAACCAGCAATGAAGAAATACGTAGTAATGAATGTGTACAGCAAACTGGTAGGCGTGTTTGAAGCCTTAATTGATCGGCAGACATTCTACAGACTGTAACTAATTGAGTAACACATTAAATAAAAATAGTTTAACTGATATGCATGCGAAACATATTGACACAGATTGACCGGCCTTTGCAAATAATCTAATTCAAAAATATTAATTACTTTGGCGACAATGACCGTCCGAAAGTTCATAACACTACAATTGAAAAACCCTAACGATTCGTCTGGCTCCGGGCATTGTTAGCCCGTAATCAATGTGCCCCCAGAACGAGTCAAATATGAGTTCAAGGACACTGTACATGTGATAGACGATAACATCTTCTCATATGTTGTAAATATTAACGTGTAAATACAATTTTATGATCAAATTACTAACGTCAAACTCTAGCACGTGATATAATATGCCTTTATTTATATTGAACTTCATATCAGCCGACTGTGGACCAGTTACAGTTTAGATTTGAATTGAACTCGATAGTATTACACAGCCGGTGCTCCAAATATTATTACTATTACCTAATTTTTTTTTTTACTCTAATTTTATTTTTATATGAGTTATGATTTTTTTTTAATATTTAAAATATTATGTATTTATTCATTACTGTCGCTGGTCTCCGACGGCTGAGATTAATATCATTATAATATACTTACTAAAAAAGAAAACAGTATGTACGGATATGGGACTATATCAGAGGTAAAATTATCGGTATTTATTTACATTAATTACTAGAAAAACGAATTATTGGACTGTAGACCAAAATTTGATGAGTATGCCAATTTAAAAATTGAATGGCTACTCATTAAGTGTTACATTGTTTTACTTCTGAGAAATAAGTATTAAAATTTCATTGTTTAAGAAAAAAAACAATGTTTAATTTGAAATATCAGTTAACTTACTGAATTTCATGGAAAATGTACAAAACATCACTCATTAGTGGAAAAAATTATAATGTATTCAGAAGAAAAATAGTATAAATTAACTGACAACCAAAACATTAAAATTGTTGGACGATTTAGAATTTAAGAATCATTACAAATATACTGAGTTGATAATATTAAGTTTATTACATTCCTGACACAGCATGGTCAATAAAAACAATAAAAACTTGTTTTATTTTAAATTGAGTTACCTTAGCGATTTTAAATAACTACCACTAAATAACCTTGAACTGAAATTACAAATTTAAAATATATTTATACAGTGTTATTTGTTTTAATTAAATTTTTTTAACTTTCTTTTAATTCTGTGAAATAGTCTTTTTTTTTTTTTACCTGCTCGGTTAAAAATTGCTTATAGATCATTATAATGATTAATATCATGGACATGTCCATGACAAGATGTTTATTTACGCATCAGAGTTAAGAGGTTAGCTTAGGATTTTTCTTAACGCATCAATTAAATTTGGCTGTAATATTCATCCCACACGTCTGAGAAATTAATATTGAACTTGCTATGTGTATAAAACTTAACAAAAAATTATTATCTCTCCTCCAAAGTTATAACACACAATTTCATTTAATATGTAATATAGTATAAATAATCATTTTTCTCATCATCTTATACTTAAATAAAATTTATCATATTAAAAAAACCAAACATTTTTTTTTTTTTTTTGAAATATTAATAATTTTTTTTTTATAAAAGTCTGTTTAATTTTTAATTAAATTTTTTTTTTAGTTATTAAATAAGTAAAAATTCGTATAAAATATATTAAATTATATGTTTTACACTTAGTATTTTAGAAATTAATGAATATTGTACAATTTAAATTTTGTAACAAGTTAATTGAAATCAAAAAATACCTCTCGGATTAATGAAATATTCTTAAGGGTATCAACCTTTTTATCAGTTATTTTAATTTACCGAATATATCAAAATAGAAAATTTTATCGGACCACATTTTTAGTTAATTATTTAGTAGTATTGTGCAATACGAAATTTGATGTTGTAATATAATAATATGTAAACATAAAAAGTTATCATATAAGATAATTTGTGAAAAAATGTTTACATATGATTTTATTGATGATCCAATTGGGCTACTAATAATTTTCAGCGTTTTCCTCTATCACGTATATCTAAAAAAGATAACCTAAACTAAAACCCAAGAAAACTCTCTTCTGTAGTCACTAACTAACAAAAGTCTCATTATTAATTGTTTAATGACAGATATAAATATTGACTTATTTGATATATTTTATAGTGTTCATGAATTCAACCGAGATTAAAAAAACAATTGTTATAATCATGGATATTTGTTAATTATAGAAAGAAAGCCTGGTTAAAATTATATCCAGACGGAAAAATGACGAAAGCGATCATCTTGTGGAGGACAGCAAACTAGCTCGCGTCCTCAATCTTGTGGATTTGACAGCCCTTGGAGTTGGTTCTACACTTGGCGTCGGTGTATACGTATTAGCTGGCGATGTAGCCAAAACAAGCGCAGGACCGGCTGTCGTTCTTTCATTTGTACTCGCCGCAGTGGCATCCGCTTTTGCAGGTAAATATTGGACTTGTAAAAAATAGTTCCAAGTTAGTCTGAGTTCATCCGGATCGATGTGTTTATTTTTAGGCCTATGCTACGCAGAATTTGCTGCTCGAGTGCCAAAAGCTGGGTCAGCTTATGTATACAGTTATGTAGGTGTCGGCGAGTTTGTCGCATTCGTTATCGGTTGGAATTTAGTACTTGAATACGTTATCGGTAAGTAATTACTAAAACTTGGCTACACATTAGTTAAATATTTTAAACGAAAAATATATTTACTGAATTACTTGTAGTAAAAGTCGTCTGTGAAAGTTGATATTAGCAAAAAACACTTAATCATCATATCGATTTGCATATACGTGTATAATTTATTGCAAACTAATTTAGCTTCGATGCGAAGTTGAGAAGGTATTAATTTTGCCATGATGTGTTTTTTTTTATGTGTCTGTTGCCACTTTTTCTCAGCTCTCGTTGGACCGATTTTGATGAAAAATATCTCAAAAGATCACAAATCGTATCTAATTGAAGACATTACCCTTAAAAATTGAAGAAAAAAAATCCCTGGTTCCCCGTAAATGAGGGATATCTCCAAAAAAATTACAATTTTTAAAATCGGTAAATTTCGTCCTTTTTTCACTTTTTTTTCTTAAAATTAGCATAACTTTATCAAAAATTAACAAATCAACCTATTTTTTTTTTAATATTGAAACCTTAGATATTTGCCTTTCATTTTATATACATTTTTTAAAAATCTAACTCTTTACCTGCCTACAGGAGGGGATTCAAAATAGCGACTCCTACACAAAAATTTAACTTTTTCAACTTAAGTTTTGAAAATGTTCCGGAAATACTCCGAGCTTCGAACATATGTGAAAATAAAGTTTATGTTATGTACTACTTAGATTAGACGAATTATCTTCTATGTGAAAATGGTCGGCGTAGTTAAAAAACATGCAATTATGGTGTTAAAATTTACGATTTCATATTTTATTTTTTCAACTTTAAATTCTTATAACTTTTTGACAAATGTATGGATCAATACAAATTTTTGTTCCTAAATAAATTATATATAAATATACCTTCATCCGACATACGTTTTTTGTAAATCAGACCATTTTTCTTTATACAGGAAGGGTTTAAATTTTTAAAAATACGAGTAAAAAGTAGAACTTTTTCAAGTTACCTATTGAAAATGTTCCGGAAATACTCCGAGCTTTAAATATAGTCAAATTAAAGATAATTTTATGCACTATAAGTTCAAAAAAAAAAAAAAATTGTCCTGACACTTTTTCTTCTGTATGCAAATGCCCGTTGAATTAAACAAAAAATGTAATTTTTATGTAAAAATCACTGTTTAACATGAATATTTTAATACTTAAAATAATTTTTGGAAAAATAAACAAATTAAAATATTTTTTTTTACATTGAAACATTAGATATTTTCTTTCAATTGATATAATTTTTTGCCCCCAGGGGGAATTCAAAAAAACAATTTTTGTACACAAGTTAAGCTTTTTCAGTGTAATTTTTGAAAATATTCCGAAAATATTGACACTTTATTTAATTTTAAATGAAAGCTTATATTATTATTTAGAATAAAGTTCATAAGACATAAGAAGTTAAACTTATTTAAATGTTTTTGCGTTTTTAAAGTCGAAAAAGTAACTTTAAATTGTGTATTGGCATAAAATGCCTATTGTATTAAACGACAAACAGTTGCCGAAGCGGTAACACTTGTGGTTAGGGTACCAGGTTCAAATCCGTCTGTGGCGATTAATATTTTGCATTTTTTTCAAGTTAGAAAAATTTTCAAATCATTTGATTTTTATCTCATTTAGATTCATTAACTTCAATAGATATCAAGGATTCTATCACTGTAGTCTCCCCTCGTGAGAAAAAATTTCTTATTCATGTTAATATTATTTTACTATGTGGTTTTTTTTTTGGCTACGATTTATTTTGCCAACCCTCACTTGTCCTACTTTTTTCAACAATACGTCAAATGATTACAATTCGTATTTAGTTGAAGGTATTACCTTTAAAAATTGAAAAAATATTCCTTATTCAAATAAAAAGTTCCTTAAACAGCTTTATCCATACAAACAATCAAAATGATTAATTTCTAATATTTTTAATGTATTTATTGTCGAATTAGATTTGATATGATAAAAGTATTTAACTGCAAAAGTAAATAATATTACTTTGTAATTTATTAATTTTTTAATTCTATTTGTATGTGTTACTAATAGTCTATAATATTCCAAATTTTTGGAATATTATAGACTGTTAATATTTCAAATTTTTTGGTAACATGTTGTTATATAAATCACAAATTTAAAAAAAAAAAAACGATTTTTAGTTTCACCTGAATTTAACAATCAATTTTTCCAATTATAATTAAAATTTATAATTCGCTTAATTGAGTAGACCTTTTTAACAAATTTTTTTCCATTGGTTTTTAGTTAAAGTAAATCATTAAAATTAATTCAGTTCTGCATATTTCAATTGTAGAATCTTTTTAAACACCAAAAGTTAATTATAAATGATTACTATAATTACTATTTAAGTGATCTATTACGATAAAAATGCAAAAAATCGAGCTTCACTAATAAATTTACTGTAAATAGTAATTATAAAATTTCCTGAGTGCATATTAATCTTTACAATACCATTTTTTTCTATTGAATTATGTAAATTTGAAACTTGCAAGTTGAGCTAAAATTTATGGTAATAAATTTATTTATTTTTTATTATAAACTTTCACTTTAAAGGACAAAAAAAAGTAGATTAAAAGTTATTACTTTTAACATATTAAAAATCCAAATCAATAATAATTTAAAAACAATTAATTATAAAAATGATATAATATATAATTAAAAAATTAATTATTATATAATTATATATTATATTTTTGAATCTAAGAATTACTAATCATGTTATAAATAAGAAAATAGGAGTTCATTTTGCTTTTGTAATTATTCACCAATTTCTTAGAATTAAACATTATCTACAAATTTGCATCGAGGCGTTTCTAATGATAGTGATTTTAATCACTGTCAGATTAAATCTAGACTGGTCCCAACTATGCCACGTCCCCACTGTGCTGTGTTTTTTTTTAATTAAAGTTAATTTTTAAATTAAATTTTCAAACTAAATTTCAATGTCCACAAACAAATTTAAATTATAAAAGGAAATTACTTAGAATAAAATAACTTGTACCGCTATGAAGTCGATTCGCATTACAAAGTTTAATTATAAATAATATATTATGAAAGTAACAGTTGAATTATATATTTTTACATAGTTAATTAAGTTATAGTTAGTGTATTGAGGAGTTAATTCAAAATACTTCCATCATTTTTTTTCACTTCTTGTTATGGTTCATAGTTCAGAAATCTTCTTATAAATTACCGAATAATCAAATTTCACTAGTTATCATAATTATAGATTATAGACTGAATTGTTTTTCACGTTTTTTCATACTAATTGAAAATAAAATATATGATTTAAATGTTAAAAGTAGAAAACTTGTTAAGACCTCGACGTGAATTTAATTTTGTAAATGTTTAAATATGAAAATATAATATTTTTCAAATACAAAAATGTGTATAAAATGAATCCACGGCTTTTTCGGATGTTTTTACATATTGAATAACATCACCAGTGAATAAAAACTAACAGAGAACGAACGCCTCTAAATTTTTATCTAAAAAATTGACTATATTAATTGTGACAAGTTGTTGCTTGTTGATTAAAAACAAAGATAATATACAAATTAAGTCCTACTTCAATATTACAATTTTTGATACAATATACTTATGTTTATTCACTAAAAACTTCAATTTTTTTTCATTTACAGATTTAAATTTTTGTTTTCGGTAATCATGAATATTTTTATATAATTATTACTGAAAATTTTTCACAGAACAAATATTTATTAACTTTATGAGTTTTACATCAAAATATAAATTAAAAAAGACTTTAAAATATGAAAAACATTTAACTGTTCATTCATTGGTGAAGTCGCCCTATGTTAATGAAGATGTTCTTTTAAATTTTTCAGGTACAGCAAGTGTGGCTAAAGCTTTAAGTAATTATTTGGACGCTCTTATCGATAAACGAATTCAAAATACGTTAATTAGTTTATTTCCTATCAATGTCAGTTTTTTGGCACAATATCCAGACTTTCTAGCGTTTGCCATTGTTTTGCTACTTTCAAGTAAGTCAATTTTAAATAATCATTAGTGAGTTAAAATTATACTTCTTTAAACAATCACATTTATAAAACAGTTGTGTGTAATATTTATGTAAAAGTGAAATTCCACCACCTTGACTCATGGCCATGGCTCGGAACTTAATGCATGTAAAAAAATTTGTTTGGCTTACTGCAAAACCCAAACTATGAAAAATTATCATAGGTATATTCAGTATCATAGGAACATTTTTCCTCTGACAGAAGAGTGATCACCACGCCCCATTACTAAATTTCTAATTCACATACAGTGTTGTTTAGTGTTAAGAAAAACGAAAACTAATATCTTTTTATCATTACACCTATGAAAATTATATTTTTATAATCCCGAACGGTGTACTCGAGATGTCAAAAATTAACTTTATAAATTTCTAAGGCACAAGTCCTGCTCATGGTTGGGTAAAGTTTAAAAACATATTGTCTCATAATCATCTTCCAATTAAGAAATATAAAAAAAAAAGAAAAATTTCGTTCAATAACACTAGTTTAATCTCATTTTCACCTTATAAATGGTAATGACTTTCATTAGTGTTTTGGCAATAGAGTTGAACAATTCTAAAGCTACGGGTGCACAGTGGACCCTATTACAATTTTAGCTGGACATAATAAATAACAATCACAAGCCTATCGAAAAAAAATAATCAATTATATATATATTTGAGATCACTTAATTGTAATTTGTATTAGTTAATAATGATTTTTTCGTGTGATGTAGCACAGTAGTAGCATTTTTATCAAATTTATTAACATAAATTTCACGATCACTGACAATAATTGATTTTAAATTATACTTATTCTTTTAATAAACTCTAAATTTATACCAATAACACCAGCAAGTTTTTCGGGGTTTTTAAAAAATGTCTTACTACATTACCGGTATTAGATGTCCTAGATCTCTAATTTTTTTTTTTTTTTTTTAATTTCTTTGTGCTACTAATAGATTTTGCTCTTTATTTAACCTTGCAGTATTTTCTGCGAATTATAGTATAAAACTGATTTGTAAATTTTATTCCAAAAACGGTAGCACAGCGAGGTCGCGGCACAGTGTATGCCAAAATCTAACTCAAAAAGAATTAAGGAAAAATTGCAAAGTCACAGGCAATGATTTTTACTAAATCAGCAAATGTTTGTGGCATTCATTTTTTAATAAAATTGGCAATTTAAGCTGATTCAAATGTTAAATTTAATTTTTTCGACTTAAAAGAAATTAAAAATTGAAATGAGTTTAACTTTATGTTCTATGTCAATTAGTATTATATTATGTGTTAAAATATTACTGTACTCATAATAAACGACAATAAATTTACCAAAAGTACTTATACAATTAAACCAACCCATAATAGTAACGTTTTGTAATTTCTACATAATTTAGTGATAGTCATTTATTGCCTTCTTATCCAAATAGAATTGAATTTAAATCCACTGTGAGGGGCCAAATTCGAATATTTATTTAATTTAATAACCAGTTATTGATTTTTCCGTTAAATTAATTACCCTTTCAATTCGCATACCTTAATGTTTACTTGATATTATGCACATATAATTGGTTTATTTTATTTTTAGACAGTTTCCTTAAGTAGTTTTAGATGTCAAACTTTTTAAAAAAAATCTTATTTGAGTTTAAAATTTGACTTTTAACATATTTTTTGATGATGATTGAAATCGTATGTTACAGTTTTGTTGGCATGGGGCGTCCGAGAGTCAACAATAATAAATAACATTTTTACGGTTGTCAATTTGTTAACTGTAACCACAGTCGTCGTGACAGGCCTATTCAAAAGTAAGTTTTTTCCATATTTTACTGAATCCAAAAATTATAACTAATGTTTAACATTATTAAATATAAACATATTTCACTAAAAATGTTTTTTTTATTTTTAATTAACAGTTGATTTTTACAATTGGAATATTCCTAAACAAAATATTCCAAAAGGGGTAGAAAAAGGCGGCGATGGTGGTTTTTTGCCGTTTGGTTGGGCTGGTGTTACTGCGGGTGCGGCCAAATGTTTTTACGGGTTCATTGGCTTTGATGCCGTCGCTACAACGGGTAAGAAATAATCGATAGTTAATAATATTTATGAATATTACTCAACAACTTTTAAATAGGTGAAGAAGCTAAAAAACCCAAGCGTGATATTCCATTAGCAATCATTCTATCGTTGACTATTATCACATTAGCTTACTGCAGTGTTAGTACAGTACTAACTCTAATGTGGCCATACTATGATCAGGTAATGAGATAATATGATACAAAGTTTAGAAAAAATCGATCAATATAATTAGAACTATTTCAATGTAAAACTAAAATTGTACTTAATGACAGTTTCGTAATGTTTTACATATTTGTTGCCTCTATGTTAGAATAGGTAGAACGAGCATAGTATTAAAATTTTTGATTATTCCTTTTGTTTATTTTTTTGGTTATTTAAACACTCATCATATAAAAAAAATGTTTGATTTTCTTATAACAACATAAAAAGAAAGGAAAATATCATATGATCAATATTTTAAAAAAAATGGTTTACTGTCTGTTATTAATATATTCTCAAATAAATATTTTATTTACTATGTTCATAAATGTTGAGGTGTGTTGTATTAAAATGTAAATGTGTTATAGGATGAAGAAGCACCATTCCCTTTTGTATACAACCAAATCAACTGGCCAACAGTAAAATGGATTGTGTCTTTTGGAGCTATTTTTGCTTTATTCACAAGGTACTTTGCAAATTGCAAAAACGGATTGTCTTTGATTATCTGATAACACTATCTATTATTACTAAGCTTTCTATAACTATTTTTCCAGTTTGATTGGCACTATGTTCCCTCTGCCAAGAATTCTCTATGCAATGTCATGCGATGGCCTGTTATTCAGAAAATTTTCTGGTATCAATTCAAAAACTCAGACTCCATTTTTTGCAACAATATCATCTGGTATTCTGGCTGGTAAACACTTTAAAATTTTTAAGTTCTCGTAATTTTTAACGTATATAATAACACTATTTCAAGGCCGTTATTTAATGAAATTCTCTGAAAAAAAAAGTATATTTTTTTTATATTATAAAAAAATTACTGCTCTTGTAATATTGAAATCAAGTTGTCCTCTCAATGTAAGGCCATGAAATAGTTGTTGACATATGAAACAAATAACATAGTAATTTACCTATTGAATAAATGTTTTTATTACTGTGATTAGGTATAATGTCAGCTGTATTCAATCTGCAGCAACTAATCGATATGATGTCTATCGGGACGCTATTGGCTTACTCGATTGTATGTATTTGTGTTTTAATTTTACGTTATAAAGATGAGACAGGCGTCGAGTTTGAAATCCGAGGAGAAGACGGAGATAATAAAAACCGGGTTTTTGAAGTTATAATGAAAACAGCGATAAAATTTTTTAATCTGTCTAATATTAAATATCCTAACGAAGAAACCGAATACATAGCAACATCAAACACTTTATGTTTTAGTGAGTAAAAATGTTTATAGGTAATAATTGATTTATTTGATTTCAAAAATAACAAAACTATAGAAATATTGACCATGTAGCCGGACATAATGAGACAATTATGATATTTATCTATCTTTTTCAGTTGCCATTACAACTTTGTTTTGCTTCTCCGTCGTACAACAAGAAGAAACATTACATAACGAATTACTTGGTTACGGAAGTATATTTTTGGGCGCGTGGCTTTTACTGATTATGTTATCTTTAGCCAGACAACCACAATCAAAAAAGGAGCTATCATTTAAAGTACATAAACTAACATTTATTTCTAATTAAATTTCTATTTAAAATATTTATCATTTTTAGGTACCTCTTGTTCCTTTAATTCCGTGTTTAAGCATTGTGTTAAATGTTTATCTTATGATGAAGTTGGACATTGAAACGTGGGTTCGTTTTGGTGTATGGTTGTTTTTAGGTCTAGTAATATACATTTTCTATAGCTTGGATCATAGCGTCGAAGGACTAAAACAAAAGCAAGAAAATGACAAAAAGGCCGGTCAACCTATTGGCATAATTTTAATTAAATAAAATATATAATTAAACTTATGTCCAAATATGTTAATGACTATAACATTCCACTTCAAAACATAAATTACTGATTATCTATGCAAATATGTCAACAGTATTAAGATTTGTTGAATGAACTTGCGTGAAAAAACATTAAAATGTGAAGTGTATTTTATGGAGTATTTTTTACTATGTAAAACTTAAACTTCTAGTCTTGAAGTTTATGTTTAAAAGTAAAGTCTTTTAAAATTGATGAATGAATTAATTTATTGCTGACCAAAATCATTTTTATGATTATTTCATCATTATTTTATCTATATTGTGATATTAATTGTCATTGTTTACTAAAAGTGTAGTATATTGTTTTACTTAAGATTATATTTAGTGAGAATAAGAATGTTGTGTATTATTCTATTTAATGAAACCTTTTATAGTAATATGATTAAGTTATTTTACGAATTATAAAAAACGTAATATTATTTTATCATCAAAATATATTTTTTAATAAAATATTTTTGTGTTGACCATATCTAAATAATAATTAGAATTTGAAATCTAGTAAAAAATGAAACTTTAGAAATGTATAAAAAAAAAAGCTGTTTAACGAGACAATACCGAAATAGATTGCTCATTATTTTATGTCGAGTCATATGTTTTTAAAGAAAAAAACGACCGTTGAAATCACTTTTTATTTAAATTCAAACAGTTAACTGATTTTTTTTTGTTTGAGCCATATTTAAGCAATAATATTAAATATGACATAAAAAATGTAAAACATTTTATTACCGTAAAAAATTCTTACTTAAAAATAAATTCTCAGATTCTTTTATTATTTGCTACTTAAATGGATGATGGTTCATAAATTTGTCTAGTCAATTGTTAGTCTACCTTATTGTAAAATATCAGTATAGTTGTAAGGTTATTAATTAATAATACATAACTGATTAAATAAAAAAATAAAACACCACTTTATTGTAAAAGGAAACATTTTTCTTAAATTTTTTTAGAAATAGTTAAAGAAACATATTTTACAATTTAATATTGTTTATTTTATGCATAGAACGTCATATTAAATTTTTTTATTCACCTGTCATTTTCTTTATATAAGTGTTTAAAATCTATGTTGTTGTTGAAAAAAAATAAAATACCTTATACCTTATACAGATATACCCTTATAAATCATAAGGGATAGCCTTTAAAAATATTTGATGACTGATAATTAAAAGAATGTATTTAACTAAAATAAACTGAAAAAAATTTCAACCTAATTATCATTTTAAGAGAAATCGAATGGGTAAACCTAAAAGAATCACATTGTATAGTTTTATAAATCAACCTTTAAATGTTACATCCCCTTAAATATGACCAAACTGAATTGAAAAATATTTTTCTTTTACACAATTTGCTTAATCTCTTTCCAAATGGGTAATTGCGAATTTCTAGCATTTTTCTAGAGGAAATCTAAAAAATGATATATATTTTATAATAGTCGAATAAACAACTAGGATTAACTTATTATTTTATATGCAGTATAAATTTATTGGTGTTTAAGGAAACCCATTTCTTTCTCTACCTACATATTCACCACCGAGTAAATTAAATGTAAAAAAAAAATTGACAAAAGAAGTCCCATTCATTGATACTCTCGGTGTTTTTAAATAAAGCGCTATCTGTAGGATCTTATGCTGACTAATATGGCATATTAACTTAAAAACATTGTGTGTTATTTTAATCACTGATAGATTGTGCCACATAATATTTTTTATATAATGGATATTTAATATCCATTATAAAATAATAAAACTTACAGATATTATTTTATGTTATATTTTATAAATTTTTTTACTCAACATTTTGAGAACTTTTTTCGTTTAACCTTTGATCAACATTTTGAAAATTTATATTATTTATAAGGAGACAAGATCCTCATAATCTTCAGTCATACCTAAATTACTCTTGTAATAACATAATATATTATGAAATTAAAAAAAAAACACAAAATGCATTATGTAAACTTATAGATATTTAACATTTGTTAGTTTTTTTATTATATTATAATATAATAATACATATATATATATATATATATATATATGTATATATGNGTGTGTTATTTTAATCACTGATAGATTGTGCCACATAATATTTTTTATATAATGGATATTTATAATATATAATACATTATAATATAATATAATAATATTATAATATATACATATATATATATATCCATGTAATGTATAAATTTTGTCGTACTATGTAAAACAATTTGGTACCTAGTTTAATGTAATTAATTTTTTTAATTTAGAGGAAGTTATCTTATAATTTTTAAACATTTCAATATGAAAAATTTAATTTAATGTATTATAGTTTGTTTGTTATTAAACCTGTAATCAGCTCTTAAAGAAGTATTGTGTGACTCACACATTAAAATAAACTTAAAAGGAATTACATTTGAAAAATCAGCGCCTTCTAATGTCAAAATTAAAATGAATGTCGGGCTGTTACAATATGCCATTTAAACAGATGCCATATTTCATTTTTAATAATTTTTTCATTATGTTAAATTTTCAAGTAATAAATTTACTGGATAAATATAAAACATATAATATATATAATTATAAAAATATTTACTATATGTTGTGACACGTGCCTTAAGAATTCATATTTACCGATTATAAAAACAAGCAGAGAAAATTGTATTAGGGATATTTTTGAAGGATAACTTCTTAAATTTAATTAGAAATCTATTATAAAAAAAATTACTTATACAATTAAGAGGAGTATTAATTCAAATGTATAACCCGATAATGATGGAAAATCGAAATTTATAGTCACCATTTATACTTAAAAAATTATTTTGGAAAATATGTTGTAGTAGGTCATGTAAGGTTGTATACATAAAAAAATTTTCCTCACTCTTAATCGTAAACTCTTAATCTAGATTTATTATTTCCAACTAATCTGCTATCTTGTAGTCAATCTTACAAACATACATAATTATTAAAAAATTAGGACATTTTCAAAAATTATTAGATGTAAATTTTGTTTTATTCATACAACACTAATGAAATATTATTCATAAATCAGTAAATTGTATGTTAGTACATCATTGATCAATGTTATAGGTACAAATGATTAATTAAAAATCGCACTTACATAAGAACAATATGTTATAAGTATATTATCAAAGATAAAAATAGGTTAATCAAGTTCAAATAATTCCTTAGACTAATTACATCATAAATCTAACTACAATCAAATTAATGTGATTGACATAATTGAGTCATGGATAACAGATAAAAGTACCTTTACAAAAATTATGACATAATTAATAAAAAACTTATAATCAAAAGAATGAAAACCTAATTTTTTTATTCTACATCATTTTTTTTTTTATTGTTAATAGTTATCACCATTATACTCTTCAATACTTAATAAATCCGAAAGACTCTTTACATTTATATGGCCCTAATCAAAAATGTTATTTTCAAAAAGGTACTAGGGTTTTTCTGCATTGAAGTAAACTTAAATGAATAAGTTTAAATAAAGAAAATTTTTAATTAAGAAAATCACATGAAAGATACACACCACATTTTAGAGAAGCGTAAGAAATTTCATTGAAAATTTCTAATAAATCTAATCAAAAAAATTTGTTAAACACTTGATATTTTATAAATCAAAATGTTCTAGTTACATATTTAAATAATGACAAGAGAATACTATAAAGGTAATATAGTTGAACTTTTAAACAAATAAGTTTTATTATTATTTTTTTTTAATTTATAGACCTTTTAATGACATATTATTCCTGTAAGTTTAAATTGAAACTTAAAGTATAATATTCAATAAACTCCTAATATATTAGGAAACACCTACACTTTAATTATACTTTTGTTTTCATTTGGTATTTATTCTAAAATGGAAACATCTATTTAATACTATAAATCCATTAGGTATTTTTACACAAATGATATACAAAATAGATGAATAATTTACTATATATTTAAATTTTACGCCTTTTTGAACAACGTCGAAATAATTAGAAATATTTATATATTTGTAGCAGTCTTGTAGAATATACTTTTATTTTTTTGTATTCAAATAAATGGTTGAAAAGGTATTCATTGTAAAAAAATATATATTCTTTTAAAAAATAATTCTAATACTTTGAGATTATTAAAAAAAATAGTCTATTTAGTTAAATTAATATATATATATATACAGTTATAAAATACAAATTTTCTTAACAATATTTATATTAAATTTAATCTATTTGTTTTACCGAGATCACATAATTTACAGTTCTACGCTAGATAAATTTTATCAAAGGAATAAATTATTTACAAAATAAGAAAAAAGAAACTAGAATATCTATGTAATGTAAATACAATTTGTATAAAAAAACTACAAAAACAAAATATAATCATTTATAATGTAATTGATATATTGTCATTTTCAAGAAAAATTTTTAAATATTGGTAAATGATGAAACATTATTATCATTAACGTCACTATGTGATAAGCTCATTAAGGGTATACAGAGTGTCCAGCATTCGCTGACAACTTAAATAACTTTTGATCCAGTTAATTTGTTTTGCTATTTTTTTTTTTTAGTTAATATACTTGAGGGCTATAATGATAATTAGATTAATATTTTATCATTTTTATAATTAAAATTTAAAAATTAAATTAAAAAAATTTACGAAAATTTTTTAAAAAAATTCCAAAATAGCCATTTTTAGAATAGATTAAAAAAAAATAATTTGGTGAAAAAAATTCTCATTAATGATTGGTACTTAATTTTCTGTAACATTTTAAATTTCGTAAAATTTTAATATTTCTGTATTTATTTTACGGTATCAAACGCTGGCTATGTTATTTAAAAGTTAATAATAACACAAAAAAGGACATAAGTTAACAGCATCTTTTCACACTAAATATGATATGAATATGGTATTTTTCCATGAAAATTATTAACATTCTGATGACTTTAATTCAAATAAAAACACGAACAATACATATTATTTAATAATTAGTTTTACCTCTAAAGAAATAAAGCTACTTATCTTACTTTTCTTCTGTCCTTGTCTCAAAACGTATTTCAATGTTTAATACCGTAAAATAACACATGAAAATTCAAATTTTCACAAACTTTAAAGTGATACAGACTATTTACTACTAAATATGAATAAAGTATATTTTTACCAAACTTTTTCTTAAAATCAACTCATCATATGTATACACAGTAATCATGAAAAGATAGCGTTTTCTTCTGTCCTTTTCTCAATACGTATTTCAATGTTTAATACCGTAAAATAGTATGTGAAAATTCAAATTTTTACAAACTTCAAAACGCTACAGAATATTTACTACTGAATATTAATAAGATATTTTTTTACTAAAATTTTTCTTAAATTCTACTCTACAAAATAGCTATCTTAGATTTTTTTTTTACATTTTATTTAAATTAGAAATAATTAACATTTTTAATAAAACGTACAAATATAAATTATTGAAATGTAATTATAGACCTAACGTATAACTGTAATTTAAAAAAAACTTAATAAAAAATATTAACTAGATCAAATGTTATTTAAGTTGTCAGTGAATCATTGTGTATAGAATACATATTTTTTTATAATTCAGAATATGGTAAAAAAGTATTAAAATTTTAAAATATCAACGTGCAAAGATTATAATGTAAATAAATATAATTCTGACATTTTTAAATACTCACTTAAGTGAAAAAAATATTCCTGAACATTAGACACTGTTTTTGAAAACGTGTTTTAAATGTATTAAAACTGTAGTAGGTTTTCAGTGGGATCTTGAAAGTTTGGTATTAATATTATAAAATATACAACAATAAATGAATATAAATAGTCTAAACATGTTATGATTTTATTTTTATGTTACAACAATAAAGGGATTGTGTATACTGTACTTATAATATTAGGGAAGATAACGACCAGTAAATGACGAAACTTTAATGGAACACTTACAAACTAGTTCTTTGTCATGTAATTGTATTGTATAGCATAACACAAAATGCGCCTATACGTTTAATGTGTAACATTATAAAAAAATA